TTTTTTTTCTTCTCTTTTTTTTGTTGTTGTTATTATTTAAATCTTTTTGAATTAATTTTTGTGTAACTCATACTCATACCGATACCAAGCATGATGATGATGCGATGATGATGATGATGATGATGAGGAGATTTCCCTCTTCTCTTCTACAAAAAAAAAACCAACAATAAAAAATATCGCGTTTTTTCTTTTTTTCAGATTGGGATTGGGTTCTCTTGTTTATGAAGTTCATGGAAATCTCTTAACTTTTATTGTTGTTATTGTTGTAAAATACTTATGAATAATTTCTAAGAATGGTGATCAGATTTTCTTTTGTTATAAAACGCAAAATAACAAAAGAACTTCAAAGAGTATGAAGAATCAATTTAGATTATCAAAAAGAATTAACAATAATACAAAAAAAAAGAAAAAAACACTAAAGAGTTAAAAAAAAAACAAGAGAAAAAAAAATTATAATAAATAATAAAATAAATGTTAACAAGAAGGGAATAAAAATTTAACGGTATGATAAGAAAGATAAAACAAAAAAACAAAAAAAAAAGAGAAAAGAAACAGGAACGAATTTTATTTAGAATAAAAATTTTGTTCTATTTCCTGTACATCATAGGATTATCTCACTCTTGTCCAAATAAAATCTACTCGGTAAGTTTAAATTTACATTTTAAGTTCTACAGTTTTAATCTAACATACTTACATAAGTATATATTTGAATATGTAATAGAAATCTTTTAGAAAATTAAGTGTAGGTACAGGCGAAAACTTTAAAGATAAGGGAGAGCAATGTACTACTTAATTATATTAAGTTTTTCGAGCATTTTTGGAGTTTGTTAAATTAGAGAGAATTTCGGCACCTTTCGGATTTTTTCGGCAAAAATTCTCTTGGTCATTCTTAATAATCAAAATTAATATTCTTATGGTTTATTAATTTGAAACATGATTTCTGCTCTTATATGGAAGTTCTTCTTCATTTTAAATCTAATATTTGTTTCATTATTGATTCTAAAAATTTAATATTAATGAAATCAATTTAAAAGCGTTATATTGAAGAAAATATCTATTATCATTAATAATTTTAATTAATTATTTTAAATTTCAAAATATAATTTTTGTTTTCCTTTAAATTTGAAAACAACATCAAAATTATTCATTCCAAAATAACTCATTTTTAAGTACAAAAATTCACATTTACTACTACGAGCTTTTCTTCCATCTACTGGGAGAAATGCTCGTAACCATTCTTGCCGTATATACTCTTTTAAATATTTTTCTATACTTGAATGTGTTTAGGCATAGAAAGGATTAGTTTTGAATTGTATAAGGAACACTTGCAGTACAATTTTGTTGCCTTTTGAAAATACTAATTTGAAAATATTTATTGCCGTGTACAAAAATTAGAATACTTGTTTTAAATCTCACAAAATTAATGTTGTATAATAAATAAAAAAATAATCTTGTTATAATTTTTCTTTCATACAGAAAATCTTTACAACTGAAAACTATGTTCTTCAAGATTTTATGACAAAAAAGAAAATAAATTCAATATTAATTTGAATAAATTCTAGATTATAAATTGCATTCATATTAAAAATGATCAATGCAAATGCAATTCAAGCCAACATTTACAATAAATCTGTACACGATTGTTTGTATATACAAAGATATGCCTACGAAAATAGCTATATACTAACAATAAAAAAAAAAATATTTTTATTTCTTTTTAAAATTTTCAAAGATTTTGCCACCTTGATTTTAATCTAAATCTTAAAAGAATATTTATTCTCACTTCAGTTTTCGTTTTATTATGAAAATCGGTGACGAAAATAAAAATAAAATAAAAAATACTTGAGAAATTTGTCGTTTTCCTTATTTTTTCCTCATTATTTTGCAGTCATTTCGAATGGCCAAAGATCTTAAATAAATAATATTTCAAGGAAATAAAATAGTAAGTGTGTATGTAGTTATATACTCGTAGCTAGAATAACATTAAAAATTATTATTCATTACCATTTAACTTGCATTCATTTTATATTTTGTTATATTGCTCGCACATAGTTATGTACTTATGAAATTCACAACAAAATAAAAATTTGTGCAGAAAAAATTTTTTTTCTATACAGAAAATTTTCCCGCTGAATTTTTTATTATTATTTTTTTATTCTAAACTGTCACGTGAGAATAAAAATTCTTACAACTTTTATAAATTCTTTAATAGTTTTTTTTTTGTTCTATTCTTTGCAAAATATAGAAGATTAAGATTGCTAAGTAATCGTTTTCTAAGGAACACTGGAGAAGAAGAAGAGTTTTTGAAAACTTCTAATTCTATTGTAATAAGAAATTTTTCAAAAATAAAAAAAATAATATTTAAGAAAATTTACAATAATCCAAGAGAATAAATTTTTATTATCATTACCATATTATCGTGAAATTAAAGAATTCTTAGGTAAGTTAGTAAGATGTTGGTGACGACATATTGCCTAATCCTATACTTAATTTAATGAAATCATTTAGCAATGTACACACAATGTGTGTATATAAATTAAATAATAATTTAAATAGAAAACGAAAAAAAGTACTAGTAAACAAAAAGAAACAAAAAAAAAGTTTTAAAAGGAAGTGGAAAGTAATCGACCTTCACTTAAAAAAAAAAAAACACAAGAATCTTCATAAAAATTTTTTTTCACATAATATTTTAAAATATAATCTTCTTCATCTTCACGGAATTCTAAGAATAATAAGTATATTTTGTTTTAGGAAATTATTGTACATATATAATGATTAAATATCTACCATAATTTTGTTCTTTTAAAGATTAAAATAAAAAATTATTTTTAAAATATTTTAATAACATAATAATTATATTTTTGTTTGTCTGTTAACTTTTTACTTAGAAAATTAATAAATTACTCAATTATTACTCATTTAATTGTTGAAATAAATATGAAAAAAGTTTCTAATTTTAATATTTGTTTACTATATAAAATTATAGACAGGTATAGACCTTTGTAGAAACAAATACAATTGTATTAATTTTAGGAATAAGAGTTTATTTCATATTTTATTAAAAGACGAAATATTTTTTATAATAATTTTTAATAAGAATAGAGTTTTAACTCAATGAATTTTCTATACTAAAATTTATTTGTTCTATAAGATCTGTTCAAATTTAAATAGAAATGACATTATAAGTTGGGATGACATGTTTATGGTAAACAGAGAGATTTAAAATTGTCACAACAAAATTTTACAAAATGTATAGCATTATCGCTGTTAGCTAAGAATAACATCAGAACGGAAAAATCAATTGTACAGTATTTTGCATCTAATGTTACACACATACATGGAAACAAATAATGCCAAAAAAAATCTCCAGCGGTAAAAAAGAAAACGGTTAAATTTGTGGCGGTAATTTCACTTGATTCTAGTCAGTTCCATTTAAATATGTGTATACTCTACCTATATATGAATTCTCGTCGAAATTTTTTTTATAGAGAAACAAAAATGCCATTTAATTATTTTGTTAATATTCTCGAAATTGAATTTATTTAAAAGAAATTTGATATTAGAGAGACGCAATTCTTACTAATTTTACAAAAAAAAAAATTAATTTAAATAATGGAATTTCTAAAAATTTTCTACCTTGAATTTATGTCAAATGAATCATAACTTTGCTATGCCTAGTGCTTTGTCGTTGGCAAAGAATTTTCAAGAGAAGAACCATTTAAAAATTTAAACATAAAAATATAAATAAAAGTGTCGCATGACGTCAAAAAAAAATATTTTGCGATGTCAAATTTATAAGAACTCTTAATCATTTTGTGCTGAAGTATTAATCATGTTATAATGAATTCAAATATGGAATTTGATTACAAAAATATTATTTTGAACGAAATTTGGAAAATTCGATAAGAATTTCAGAGAATGAGAAGGTGAGCATTAACTTTATTAAGGTGAGCATTCGAGGTGAATTTCTTTAAGAGATTAAAACCAATCATTAATAAATTTCTTGTACTAGTTTCGAGTACTTGTTTCACTGTAAATATTAAGAATAACTGCAGTACGTTTACCCGAAATTCAGTGTTTTTGTAACGCAAGTGTGGTGAAAATGTAGAAAGTGTTGCCGAAATAATTTTCAAAACATTGCAATTTATTCCGTACAGAGGATATGTTAGTAACACTAAACACATTTAATTAACTCCAAAAATTTCATTAAAAAATTTAGTTGTTTTGGCCAACAATTCAATTTCATCATCAAAATAGAATTAAGGAAGATTATTTTTCTTTTTTTTCAAAATCATTTTACGCAATTTATCACCAATGTTTTATCTTAAAAACCTTAAAACTACCATAAATTAATAAGTTATAATTGAATCTTAAAAAAAAAATTTTTTTTAGTTCAAAAACGCTTCTGTTTTTAATAAATTTGAATTAATCATATGATATAATATAATTGATGTTCATTTATATGTGAATGTGTGTTTGTATTATTAATTTGATTGATTGAAATTGAATTAATTGATTTACAAATTGTATACAAGTATGTAGTATGTTTGTGATACATGCAAACTTTGTGTACAAATAAATTTAATTTTTCCAATTTTTTTTTTTATTTTTGTTTTCTTCTTAAGATACCAAATAATTCGATTTCCTTGTTAAAATTAATTTGATGATCATCAAATTATCATCATATTATAAATCGTGTATTATATTAATAAAATAATGATGACTTCATTAATGAATTTTATAAGAATCTTATTAAAATCAAATTTTTTATTTTTCTATTTGAATTCTATCAAGTTTTTTTTTTCGTGGATATTTTCCAACCACAAAATAACCGAAACGAGAATTATTTTATGAAAATTAATTTTACAGCATAATATTGTGGTTTGGGTTTGAATTTTATTATTTACATAAGTACACACGCATATATCACATACAATATAATACACTAGCAACACACAACACAATAATCAAAATTTAATAATAATAGTAATGTAATAAACCTTTTCTATATGAATGCCTTTGTCTTTAATTGTGAACTTTTACTTCAATTTTACAATTGTTTGATTTCAATATAAGAAAGTCATGGAATTACCTGAAAGAAAACAAAAAAAAATTATATTTAATAATTGAAATATAATTAAAATATTGTAATTTATAGTAAATTCTATTTTACAACTATATTTTTGTAATTATATAAAATATACAAAAAATAATTCGAAGTCGGTGCTGCCTTAATTAAGTACATTTTAGTACTTTATTTTCATAGTACTTTTTCTTTGACATCCTAAACGCAGATATTACTACTAAATACAGTTTATAAGTGTTGATGACTGAATTGTATAGTTTCTAGTTTGTATTTTTACATATGAGTGAATGAAAGTGAGCAGATAACCGTATAGGTTTTTCAGAGACTAAGAACGAAATTTTGTTCTATAGAATAAATTTTTTTACAGCAGGAAAAATTCGCCAAATTACATATTCGATTCAAGGTAAGTAAATTTATTTTTTGTTTTAAAATTTTTAAATATTTCCTTGTTGTTTATAAATATTTTGCATATCCACAAAGAGATATAAGCCGGAATAAGTTATGTAATTATAATAAGTTAAGCCGTTACTGCACTAAATTAGCATTATGAAAATTTGAAGTCAAGGACCTTTCTTCAATCATTAGCAATTAAATAATCACTTTTACTCCATTTGTCCAATTTTTAAGTAAATAACAGGATAATCGCTTACTATATATAAGTCAATTTTGTTGAGAACAGTCTTGATACTTAACTTCATACTGATAATCAGGTGAGGTAAAATTCTAAATCAACGATAAATAGATAATTGGGGTATATGTATAAAAATATAGAATTAAGCAGAAATTCTAAATTATATAAAAAATTCTTAATATAATTAAGGAAATAATAAAATTCTAATTTATTTTCTATTTTCAAACAACACGATCCAATCAAATATAATTGCATTAAAAATAAAACAAAAAATTTAAAATTAAAAAATCCAGCAAAAAAAATATTATTTTTTTTCTAAAATTTTTATTACATAATTTGGCATATAACAGTAAAAGATTGCACTCTACACAAAATCAGTCTTCAAAAGTCGAATTATTATTGTATATGGGAAAAATTTTATATATACACACATATATTATGTTGTACATATGGTGGGTATCTGCTCATAATTTCATATTATATAATGTAAGTATATAGGCCTATACATATATATTTAAATATTATATAGAGAAAAAACAACAGATTGGATTGAATCGCATTCTAAATATTTCTTGAAGATTAACTTTTTGAATAATCATAGAAAATCATAGTTAATTTTTCTTCTTCTACTGTTGCTATGTGGGTTGTTTTCTATATTTTACAAATCAGTAGAATTTTTTATGGTTCTTCCTTCTTTAAAATAATACACAATAATAATAATCTATACTTGTGGGTTTATGCATATACACATGAATGCATGAACCCACATCCGCACATAAGAATATTATTGTGACACAATCTATTATTTATATGGAAATTTTAATGTAGGTACAGTTAGAATTTTGATAGATTTTTGTTTTCTTTTTGTTTATTTTTTATTCTTTTATTCTTACATAATCCTGATGAATTTTTCAAGGTCGTTATTCTCTTATGCAGGGAATTCGTCAAGTGAACCCTAATTTTTTTTTCTACATTTATGTTTTTCTTCTTTTTTTATATTTATTTATTTTTTTTTTTGTTTTGTAAAGAGTAAGAGAATAAATTGTTTTCTTTTTTACTTCAATTTGTGTATATGTTTTTTTGAATATTTCATATAGACAGTAATAAGTAAAAGAACAGGACTAGAAATTAGTTGGAGTGAATAAAAATTTAAATTTGAAAATTTTTTTAAGATTTGTAAATATTATTTTTACAAAATAATCCTAAATCAGCTCTTCCCAGCTTCTCTGTATTAGTGCGTTACAAAATATGAGAAAGAAAGCTACTTTGAACAATTTTGATTTCTGATTGTAATTTTAATAATTTCATTGTAAAAGAAAATCAATAGAAGAGATTGCTCTGAATTTTTATATTAATATTACAGTTGTATTCTTACGCCACTTGTCATATATATAAAATTACTATATTTTGGTTTCGTCATTCTTTTAAATCATTAAATTTTCGTTTGTTATCGAAATAGACAATCAAATGTAAATAATTAAAAACAAAATTTGCGAAAAATGCTGCGATATAGTGGTCTTCCTTATTCCTTTTTCAGAGAGGTTGACAAGTTATGTTATTTTGTGAGATACGACAATATAATTTCGTGGCGTTGATAATTAAATGACGTTTGATGACATTTCATCGTACAAAGATAACATTATATGGTTGTCAAATTATTGAAATAACATGACAGAGCTGTCGGATCATTAATGCTTTCGAAAATAACTTCTATATATTTTTTCGTTATATTCACTCCAACCGAATTTGCATATTGTAACAAAAACATAATAATATCATTATTATTTTGTTACAATATTCATTTTATATACATATTTTTAAAATATTACAATATAATGATGGAAATGATATTGATGATGATTGCATCTTTAAAAATATATTACACATTACGTATACGAGTATATACAAATAGAGAATTCATCCATCAAATTATAAACAATAAAAACACTCTTACCAATCACCTTGTAACATAACAAAACCAAAAAATAAAATCAATATTTTTATTATTACAAATAAATTTTCAAATATTTTCGACAATAAAGTTAACCATCATTGTTTTTTGAAACTGGTAGTAACAACCAAATAGGCAATAGCATCTATGTATAGTGGTTGAAAATATATTGTGAATAAATTTATGTAAAATTGGATTTTTTTGTTTCTTGTTTCTTCTTTTTGTTTTCGATTCAATATAAAATTTCATCTTAAGACACTTGTTTTCTATTCTTAAAATAGTAATAATAATAATAGGGTTCTTTTGAATTCTATTGAACTATATTGTTACAATCATAAAACAAAAAACCGTAAAAAAAGGGAAAAAACAAATAAGAATTTCAAAAAAAAAAAAAATAATGGTTTTTTTTTATAATATGATCACATCAAATTGTATGGAAAATTAACTTAGGTCTGGGTAACTATATTCATACAATAGAATAATCTCATAGATTTTATAAGGAAGCTGTTTATATTATGCTTATAAATAAACTGCATATCATAAATATAGAAATGTATGTATGTATGTATATACATATAAGAATATTACCATAGATTTCTTTCTATTCTTCTTGTAAAATTATACACCTTGTTAGAACATAAATGATGTATTATGCCATCTTTTATGGTTTATACTATTGTAATATTTTTTTTTTTTCATATCATCTGCTTTTATTTATTGATATGGCGTCAAATGATTCCTTTAAAGAAATAATATTGTATACCTACATATAAATTCGTGAATATAGCAATAATAATGGCAATTTATAATAATTTTTGAACCCTATTACAACTACGTAACCTGTATAATATTTTAAAGACAAAGTGTGTGTATATGGGGATGTGTGATGAGTTTTGATTCATTCATAATTTTAATTCAATATAATATATTTTAATGTACTCATTTAGGAAGAGCACATATTTATATGTTATATGTATACACTTTTGAGTAGAATGTGTTAAAACAAAAATGTAGTAAATTAAAAAATTTTATTTTTGAGGTTTTAAGAGTTTTATTTATTAATTGTATATAGAGTATGTTCAAGTATATATTTTAGATTCTATACATATTTATTTATATGTTAATTCAAAATAGTTTCTCGTAATTTTCTCGAAATCAAATTTTTTTCAGTTAATGCACTTTTATTATAAGAGTATACGATATTTGTTATAAGCAAATTATAGCTAGAACCATTGTTATTTTCACTAGAATATACTATTTTCAATTTACTGTGTGTATAACTACAATAAATAATTTCTGTTATTGCTATATGTACATATTACGTGTACCTGTATTGTATTTAGTTATACTTGCTTGCAAAGAATGTGTTCCTTTATACAGTGTGATATTAAATGAAGGAAATCAAATCAAACATAAATTGGTATTTTAACAAAAATAAGTAAATTTGATTATAATAATAATAATTTGCATTATTATTACTGTAAATCTACTATACAAAACATTCTCAATTGCAGTAGATCTACTGTAAAATACTAGATATTATATTATGTAGTATTTGCCTATTACAAAGTACTTAAATATACAGACTGATTAGCTTGATTTGAGAGAGTATGGTGAATGTGGTGAATTATCAACTCTTCAGATTTGATTTTTTTTCCTACATAATATAACAATTTAATTTTTGTTCTTTTCAATTAAATTCTTCATTTTTTTTTGTTTTAGGTTATGTTTGATTTAATATGTACTATGTACTCTGTACATCAAAATTAAATAAATTGGAAGATGATTTGAGGTAATTTTAACTTGTTTATTTTCAATTATTATCTAAAATTTGTTTAAGTAGTACCCAATAAGTGTTATTTGTTATTTCTTTATTTTTATTCTATAAGTACTAAGAAATTCAATTTTTTTCTTCTTTTTTAAGAAAATCGTGAATTTGTACATAGATTTTTAATTTCCTGATTAAAATATATAAAAAAAAAACATAGAGAAAACAAAACAAAAAATTATTTTATTTTAGAAATTTATAATTTTTTTATTATCGTTACTTTGTACCTACACTTATTATGATATAAAGAGTAAGTACTCGTATGAGTATATGTGTAATTTTTGTTTCCAATTATCATAATACAAAAGATGAATATTTTTTATACTTCCTTAAATTTGAATACCAATTTGTTTTCTTTCTTATATTTTTTAATATTTAACAAATTATAAATGAGTAATTATTAATCAGAATATTATTTTTTTTCTATTTTATATAAAAATTCTTTTGAATTTTTTATAATATGAATGAATGAACGTTTTCTAGACAGAGGAGCTTCCTATACGATGATGATTTAAAGATCGAAAAAAAAAATTTAATTACACAGAAAAATTTAAGAAT